AATCTTTTCTTGATTTTACTCACCAATTCGGTGCTTGCTTGCATTCTAGGATTTAAATTTATCTACGTAAAAAGAAGGAGTGGGGAAAGGAAGTGAAAGAAACAAACTTTTGAACTTTAACGATACGAAAGCCGTTAATGTGCAGATTACCTAGATAGTCTACAAATTACCTAGGTAATTTCAGAAATTGAACAATTTTCGCAGCTTTAACGGATCACCCTAGTTAATCTGCAGATTAGCTAGGTAATGTACACATTAACGGATTTCGAGCTTTAGCGGTAACATCGATACAAAATTCTTCACAGGAAATGGAAAAATTGCATTTAATTTTGGAATATTGTTTTCAAAGATTCTAAGCCCAATTGTGCTTTTTCTGTGGTCCAAATCTTATTCATTCCCGAAAAAACTCGTTCAGTAGCAGCATTGGTGCCTCTCGCATCAATTGGTGTCTTTTGCTCATTCCAAGTGTTTATTTTTACATACGATATCTCATCAAAAAGTTCCGTTTTTTGCTTATCAACATCGAATAAATCCATTTTATGACAAAATTTTGAAATGGTCAAAATTTTCTGTACAGTTTGCCAATTAAAATCATTTTTAAAACTTATCGACTTTTAAAATAATCAATGTCTTCAAAGTGAGATAAACGAAGATCTAAATACTGATAAGACACTAGATTTAAATAAATCTGTTCTAAACCAACCATTTTCTTCCAAATTTCTTAATTGATTGCGAACAATCAGTGGTAGATACTGCATGTCCAGTCTTTCTTTTAATTTAAATTTTAAATTTTCTATTTCTGTAACAGCTTCCATAATAGTAATATTATGACTTTTAATACTTGCCTTCAATACATGCATAATCATTGCTTAAAATACATAATCTATATAATTCTTTTAAAATATCAAGAGAATTCTGACACAGATAAATACATGATGTTCTGCGTACTTTATTATTTTCTAAATTTGTTCTGTGCAACAAATCAAATTATCGTTAGTTTTAATTTCGATAACAGAAGGATCCATTTCTATTCCATATTATGGAGTAAGATGGAGAGTTACAACGCTTCTAATAAACCAAATATAGAAGATAAATTAAAGAGAGAAGAAATTATTTTTTTATTCTTTGTTACATTTTTTTATGCTCTAATTTGTTTACTTTCTCTCTGCCTTTATATTCATATATTTCAAAATTATACAGAAACTAATATTATCTTAGTATTATTGTATATCCTCACTTATACTTGGCAGAACTTATTTAGTTTCGGTTATTATCTGTATTTTATAACATATTTAATTCTATTATCTCGTTCAATCTGTCATAAATTTAATTACATGACTAATTGGATAAACAATAAACATTCTCAATGTCATCTAAATTTGATACAGATTAGAAAATGTCGTAACGATTATTATACTTTGTGTGATATAATTGAAGAGATTAATAATGTTTTTGGAAAATCGTTGATTGTTTTATTTATTACTCAATTAGTTTTCCTCTTCGCTATTTTATATCTTCTGGTTTTTATGAATTGCCCCAATGATTTAAAAGTTTTAGTTGTAGTTTTGTCATCGGTTAACGTTATTTTGTTTCTTCTTCTGTCCGTTTTTGCTGCGGAAATACCTAAAAGTGTAAGTAATTTTCAATTAATTACTACTGTTATTTGTGTTAGTTATGGCTTTATTACATGGCTTCATAGGCGAATCGTTGTTCGGATGCTATCTATAAATCTTCGTTACGCTTCAACAGGTTTAAAGATGAATTATCGGTAAGTAATTATATTAGAAATTATAACTTTTTAACTCTATTTACTTTTATATATTCCATTCACCTTTAGTATAGCCCACTAATAACTGAGACCAACTACCAATGAAACCTGGTAGTTGGTCGCAAATTCATGCTTGACCATTGGACTGTCCATGTGAACTTTTCTGAATTTTTTCACGTGTCTAACAGCTAAGTAAAAGCCAGTTTCCCATAGAACAATCCTCCTGGATTAATACTTCTGTAATTAAGAATAATTTAACATTTCACTAAATAAATGTGCATTGGAAAATTTCAGCATTGCCCCTATACAAAAGTTTCATCTATTAATTACTGTTCTGAATTTAAATAAAATGATATTTAGTAGTTATAAATCACTTGCAAGTCCCGTAGTGATGAGTTTTGAAATTAAGTTAATCGGAGAAAAGTTTGGAGCCCGTAGTGATTCCTATCCATATAAATTAATTTTATGTTTATTAACAAAAATAAAATATTAAAAAGTAACTTTATTAATTAAGAAACATTCTACGTATTTCATTTATTCATTATATATACAATGTACGTGGAGGTTTGTTTAGCAAAAGAAGCCAGCCAAAAGAGGCCTGTCCTACTTCTGGGCCTAAGCTCTTAACGGGTCCTTGCTTATATAACACTCAAATTTCATGTGGAACTGACTGATAAACAGGAAAATTATATATATTATAGGCATATATAATTCTGGTGTGAAAGTTCAGTCGTTTGCCAAATTAAATGCAACGAACTTTATGATTTAAGCATGTATGTTAATAAATGATTCATATTATATATATATAAATTTAGATTTACATATTTCTATTCTTCTCTAACAGATTTATAAATTCATGAAAACAATTCACGGACCAATTATAGGATTATCCGGGTGTGGATTTTTCTTCATAACTTCTAATTCCATGTACTCGGTAAGAGACAAAATCAATAATTATCAATAAATATATTATATATAATGACAACATAATTATCTATAATTTCAGATTGCTGGAACTGTATTCTCTTATTTTATAATACTCGTTCAGTTTCACACCGCTATGCAGAAAAGTTGTAAAGTCGAATAATAAATTCGTATAAATGTCTATGTAAATGATAATCACAAATTATATTAGATAAATATTTAAATATACAAATAATCATTTTATTTATTTATACTTTTCTGCGCTATGAATTTTTTTTAAAGTTCTTCGTGTTTTAAAAAATGTCGATACAAAATTCTTCACAGGAAATGGAAAAATTGCATTTAATTTTGGAATATTGTTTTCAAAGATTCTAAGCCCAATTGGGCTTTTTCTGTGGTCCAAATCTTATTCATTCCCGAAAAAACTCGTTCAGTAGCAGCATTGGTGCCTCTCGCATCAATTGGTGTCTTTTGCTCATTCCAAGTGTTTATTTTTACATACGATATCTCATCAAAAAGTTCCGTTTTTTGCTTATCAACATCGAATAAATCCAATTTTATGACAAAATTTTGAAATGGTCAAAATTTTCTGTACAGTTTGCCAATTAAAATCATTTTTAAAACTTATCGACTTTTAAAATAATCAATGTCTTCAAAGTGAGATAAACGAAGATCTAAATACTGATAAGACACTAGATTTAAATAAATCTGTTCTAAACCAACCATTTTCTTCCAAATTTCTTAATTGATTGCGAACAATCAGTGGTAGATACTGCATGTCCAGTCTTTCTTTTAATTTAAATTTTAAATTTTCTATTTCTGTAACAGCTTCCATAATAGTAATATTATGGCTTTTAATACTTGCCTTCAATACATGCATTATCAAGTAGTAATATGGAATAATGCTGCTTGATTATGTATGAAATACAACCATACTTTTGAGCTATCATCTTCAAAGAAATTTTGCAAAACTCTTGAATAATTGTCAATAGATAAGAAATATGTTAGGTTCTCAAAAGTGACAAGTAAAACTTAAGAGAGACTAGTATAAAAGAGATGAAACAGTGACCTTTTATCACTGTAAGAGTTGGAGAAGCATATTTCATTTTTTATGCATTGCCCAATGCATAAAAAATGACAATTTTTTTATGCATTGCGCTTTGAGGGACAATTTTCAATGAGGAACCAACAACTTAAATGCGAGACGTCTGGTCACTTTAATGTAAGGGCATCTTTGATGCACGCTGATTGGTTTGTGTGCCACCAAAATTGTGCGCCACGAGCAACCCTCTCATGAAAAAATCTGAGCTGATCCGAACTCGAACCCCGAGCTTTATGGAACGGTAGTCTATACTTAGCTTACTTTCCACGAAGACGACTAATTAGCTCATTGTTATAGTAACAACGGATGGTTTGACACGTTCTTCAGGACTGAGCTGCCCAAAACCTAAGGTATTTAAATGGATAATAATGTTCTAATCGTGTAAATATCCGCTTAAAAATTTTTTGGATATTTTGTTATAATTTGTTGTAAACAGTGTAAACTAAGTTAGTTTCATTTTATTCGTTATAGGTTAAGTGGGTTCGGATTAGTTTCATTCAACTGTCTCCAAAAGTTTCTAACAAAAATATTAAGTAATAAATCTATATATACTATATAAAAGGATGTCTGTCTGTTGTCACTTCTAAACATTTTGACCGATCTGTCCTAAATTTTTTATACTTACTCTCTATTAACCTACGAAAAATATAGGCTACCAAAAAATCTTCCCTGATTTCATCCCCTTGACACTTCCTGATAAGTGTAGTAAGGATAACCAAACTTTTAATTATGTTTTTATTTTAGTGTTTATCATTACTATTCGCCTGGCATATTTTATGCTAGTAAGTTTATAAAAGTGAGTCTAAATTAATTTTACACTAAAATCACTTAATACGGGATTGCCTCTTTTGTCATCCGAACAGAAGATCGATAATCATCACTTTAGTTACGTTTCCGCAACAATGATGATTTATTTTTTTAAGATTATCTTTGTAAAAACAACAAATAAATTATCAAATTATTTCTGTATCACCCTTACAACTTTTCTACAATTTTTAGATTACGAAGTACTGTATTAAATTTTTAATTATCGTGTACAGTATATTTTGGATATTTCAATACCCTTCATCAATTTGGATTTTGTTTTTTCTGTTTTAAATGATATTTTAAAAGTGATTTTAACTTTTCCTTATACTATTTTTGCTATTTTCGATGATGAATTTAATATCCGTATTTAATATTTTAATTTCTTTTTGTAGTCTACTTTCTCTACTGTGGGATGTAGGAATTCTTTATTTAGTATTATTATTATTATTAATGTATAGTGCGTATTGGATTAATAAAGAAATCTATTGGTCAACTTTCAAATTAATTAAATAACTGTAGTTTTATAAATCTTTTGTCGTAGTAAATTAATAACTATTAAGAATATTACATAGAAAAATTAATTTTTTATAGTCCGTCTTGTCAAGATCATTTGTCGCATAATTCGTTGCAATTTACTTTGCAGATAAAATGATTGTTCTCGACATAGTAAATTACAGTGTTTGCATGTAGTTTCAGTCTTGCAATTCTTATTTCCGATCAGTTTACAGGCCTGTGAATTGGCCGAAAATATTTACTGTGATTGAAGTTATTGCTGGAAAAGAGCGAAAGTGTGTTTTTTATTTTATCGTCAAATCTCGCGTTATAAAAAGAAACTTTATGAGTTGGCTACTTTTGGGCTATTTTTTTTAGAAAATTTTTGGCTACAAACACTAAAAATAACTGGCAACGTTGATAAGCTTAAGGGGTCTGTAACGTACTGTACGTACGACTAAATATCCAGATGACACAACGGGCTGATTGGTCAGCTGAATGACGTCAATCTACTAAAATCGGAAATGTTGATCGATTAGCCTAATCTTTGTGTTGTTGTTGTTGTTTGTTGTTGTTGTGAGAGCGGGCAGACATTATAGTTATAGACATTTCATCTAAAACTTGATAAAAGGCACTTCTTTATAATTTCACTCTTGAATTTCACTCTATAAATAGCTTTTGTGTGTATTGACATTAATTGAAAATTCTGCAATAATTTTAACATTAAACTAAATTACGTGATATCAAAGATTTTAATGTTGAAACATTTTTAAACATCAAGAAATAACTTTTATTATCTGTTTTGTATTTTTTTATTTTTTAACCTTTTTAAGCTTTTTTGTACATTTACTATAATAAAATAATCAAAAACAACAAATGTAAATTGCAAATTAAGTTTTTTTTTACATTCTTTATTAGACAATACAGTATTTTTAACCATACAGAAAGTTGTATTTAATGTTTTATATATATTACAACCAGGGCTGTGGAGTCGCGTAAAGATCTACCGACTCCAACTCCGACTCCGACTCCGACTCCGACTAGGGGCGAAAGAGACCCGGAAATTATAGAAAAGTGTAAGAAATTATAGTTTTACCCAAAAAAAAGTTTATTTTCAAATATTTAAAAAGATCGTAATAACAATAATTGTGAAATTTACAAGCTAAAAATAATTAAAAATACAATATTTACAATACAAATAATCTAGAAGAGATGATGAATGATACAATAACCACGAAAGATACAGTTGAATCAGCAGTCATTTTATACTGCACGACGAAAATTCTTTAGGAAAACTCCATTGAAGATATTTGCAAGATTTCAGAAATGAATATTTCGCACTCTTCGGGCAACCTTATATTGTGAACATCAGCGAGAGTTTTTAATAGCAAACTATTTGCATGAATGTTATTTATTTCCTGCCTTAATTCCATATTTGTTTGTTTTAATTGAGCTATTTCACTTTTGATATCTTCCGTTTCTTCTTCTAAATGATTTATCCTTTCGTATATTTTTGTCCTGAATGTTGCGGCGTATTCGCGATTTTTTAAGGTTCTCCTACGCCGCTTGATTAAAACTTTCTCTTCTTCGTTGCACTGGTGAAGTTTAATGAGACTATTCAAAAGCGTCGTAGAGTACCTCGTTAGGTCCTCGTTTGAAAGAAGCTGTTCTCTATTATCTTGGTTGCTTTCCTGAAAGGAACAGAATGAATTTAGGACGACATCATTAATAAGAATAATAATTATTAATTTTTTTATTCTTATCTACGCGTAAACATTCATTCGTGAGCGACTGTTACCTCTACGATACATTTTTCTGCTGTCGACGTCATTCGTTTCACCAGTATATAGATATTTCGTTCAATTTAACGTTATCAAATACGAATACAAAGTATATTTTCAAATGAAATGGAATATATTATTCTTATTATTTTTGATAATTTTGCATTGATAATAGTTCCAGAACGTATCCCTTCTCTAGAACAGTTTAGTTTTAGAGAATGGATACTATTCGGTGCAATATCGAAGGATTTTATTTTTCACTAATTTAATTATAATGTGCTTTAATTAGTCTTTAAAGTAAGTGGATTGATGATTATTAAAATTTCGCATATTTTGATTTCACGCAATAATAATGCAGTGCAGTATATGGAAATAACTTTAGTTAAATAAAGACTAATCTAGGTTATCGTCATTTAAAGTACCAGTTGTTAAAAAAACTAAACGGAATGGCAGTCAATAAAATTAATATAAATCTCTAAATTAAGATGTGATCTCTTATATCAAAGTCTAACTTATAATATTTAATTGTCTCGACAGTTACTTCGCCATAATACGAACACAAATAAAATGAAACTTACCATTGAGGATCGAAGAGTGGCTTCTTTAACTTCTTGAACGGTCCGACTGTTTCTTCCTAGATACTGAGCGACTGTAAAAACCCGAGCTTTTATAGAAAAACGGTAAGTATTTGATAGGGTGTTTACGTGTGATGTCAAAATAATAAGAGAACAATGGGAAGGCACAAAAAGTAAATCCCCCTTAAGGCTATTTACTGGGAACTCATTATCCTTTTAATGATGTTGTTTGCTGATAACTCATTAGCCTTTTTCATGCATCGTTTAGTATTTGTAACTATTTATATATTTTAAACAATAAACAGTTGATAGTTCTAAAATTTATGCAAAACTAAAATAATTTTCTTAAAGTAGTCATAAGAATAAATAAAATAAAATGTATTTCAATGATTTTTCTTTTGGTACTTTCGTAATAAATTGAATTGGCGAGCGTGAAATAA